TTTACGCACCCCAACCTCTCTCGACTAGAATCGGTGTATGTGCACAAGGAGATCCACGCAAACTGTTTCTTACCAAAAAGTTTAAAAGAAAAAAATAATTTTGAAATCCTGAACTAGAGTTATCATTCAGTTTTAGAGTTTGTGAAACTGACTTCACGAATAAAAAGGGACGTGCAAAAAGGAATATATTCGGCTAAAAGGAAAAGATATAAGTTTGCAAACAGAACGATAATTAGTAAATAAAAAAATATTGTACGGCATAAAATGTATTAAATTATATAATAAAATTATTAAATAAAAATAAATTTTTTTAAAAGTATATTTAGTTTTAAAAAATTTATTTTCAAAATAATTAAAAGGATCGGTGTATGTGGACAAAAAGTTAAAAGAAAAAATAATAATAATAACGAGCAAACTGTTTTACGGACTCTAACTTCTCTCGACTAGTTATTTGAGATGAGGGTTACTAGTCTTTATGATTCTATTAGAAGCTGTTGAAGAAGAAGTATTAAGGAAAATGGAAGTCAATGTTCATAATTTCCTTGAAAATGCAGACCGAAGATCAACTAATTAGAGTAAGAATTCCAAGCCAAAAAACAGAAAAGTATATAAATAGGAGTCAAGTAAACGCGTAAATTTGGTCAAAATTCCGCTTGTTATAATGCTAAATCGTCAAGAGTTTCACATTCAATCTAAGTGGCTGTTTTATTTCCAACATAGATGTAGAAAAATTCGTAACTTGTTTAGAGTTTCAGTCACAAAGTTGACCATGATTGGAAATTAACAAGGCAAAAGGGCCCTTGTCTCAAAACTTCAGAATTATTGCCCATGACATTTTCTCCAATCTCTAAAACTCATAGTTAATTTGGTTTTATCTTGATTTCGTGAGAAATGAGGAGTTTGCTCTTTACTTGGCTCTTCTTGATGCAATTCGTAGCAGTTTTCTTCGAGGTTGATGTGGTTTTGGTTTCAGGTCAATGTCAAACGGACCAGCTGGGATTGTTGCTCCAATTGAAGAACAGGCTAAATTTCAGTTCTACTTTGTCTGTTAAGCTTGTGAAGTGGAATCAAGGTCCGGATTGCTGCAGTTGGGATGGTGTGAGATGTGACACTGGAGGTTATGTTACCAGCCTTGATTTGAGCAACGAAGGTATTTCCAATGGAATTGACAATTCAAGCAGTCTCTTCCATCTCCAGCATCTCCAGAGTCTAAATTTGGCATACAACCGCTTCAGCTCTGTATTTCCTTCCGGTTTTGACAAACTTGCAAATTTGAGAAATCTGAATCTCTCAAATGCTGGCTTCACAGGTCAGATTCCACTCGAGATTTCAAGAATGACAAGGTTGGTTACTCTTGATTTATCTGTAAGTGTCCTTCTTGGAAGTTCATTGAAACTTGAGAATCCAAATCTAGGCATGCTTATTCAGAATCTCAAGGAGCTGAAGTATCTCTATCTTGATGGGGTAAATATATCAGCACAGGGGAAAGAGTGGTGCCAGGCTTTGTCTTCTTCTCTCCCTAAGTTGCAAGTGTTGAGCATGAGCAGCTGTTATCTTTCAGGCCCCATAGATTCCTCCTTTTCCAAGCTTCGGTCTCTTTCCGTGATTTGTTTGGCTGATAATAATCTGTCTACTCAAATTCCAGAATTCTTTGCAGAACTATCAAACTTGACTTCTCTACAGCTTAGTTTCACCAATTTGCAAGGAAAATTTCCCGAGAAATCCTCCAGGTGCTTACTCTAAAAACTCTTGACTTGTCATACAACCCATCTCTTGAAGGATATTTCAAAGAATTTCCTGCTGCTTCATCTCTTGAGACTTTGGTGCTTAGCGACACAAGTTTTGGGGGAAATTTACCAGAATCTATTGGAAACCTTGGAAGGTTGACAAGGATAGAGCTCGCAGGTTGCAATTTCAATGGATCAATTCCAAATACAATAGCAAATCTCACACAACTTATCTCCGTTGATTTATCATCAAACTGTTTTTCTGGCCCAATTCCGTCTTTTTCATCAGCAAAAAATCTACGCGAACTAAACCTTGCTCACAACCAGTTAACTGGTTCAATTCTCTCCACAAACTGGTCACTCCTTTCGAAGCTTGTAAGTATTGATTTGCGCAACAACTCACTCAATGGAACTCTCCCTCCATCTTTGTTTGGCATGCCATCTCTGCAGAGAATTCATCTCCTTCAAAATCATTTTACTGGCGGATTGAATAAGCCTTCCGAATTAGCTGCTTCTCTACTAAATACCCTTGATTTGGGTGACAATAAATTGGCGGGACCATTCCCATTGTTCACTTTTCAACTTCGAAGTCTTAAGATCCTTGTGCTGTCTTCAAACAATTTCAGTGGTCAGGTAAATCTAAGTTCATTTCAGCAGCTCATGAATCTATCATCTCTTGACCTGTCATACAACAGCTTCTTGATTAATGCAAGTGGTATCGATGCTGCTATGTTACCCCAGTTTGGCACATTAAAATTGGCTTCATGCAAGGTTAGAGTATTCCCAGATTTCTTGTTTGAACAATCCGTGATACGGTATCTAGATCTCTCAGCCAATCAAATTGATGGGGAAATACCCCGTTGGATTTGGAATATTGGATCTCTTACTTACTTAAACTTGTCCCACAACTTTCTGGTCAATTTACATGAGCCTTTGAGGGGTCTTAGTTCTGCTCAATATCTATTGGTTTTGGATCTTCACAGCAACAGACTACAAGGGCAACTACCAAGCTTTCCACCATCCGCTACATATCTGGATTACTCGAGCAACAATTTCTGCTCTGTTATACCGGTCAACTTTGGTGATTACCTCAGTACGGCCCAGTTTATCTCTCTATCCAACAACCACCTCCATGGTAGTATTCCTAAATCAATTTGCAATGCTACACAGCTTAGTGTCCTTGATTTATCGAACAATTTGCTGAATGGCACTTTTCCCCAATGCTTGACTGGGATGGAATCTCTTAGAGTGCTGAACCTTGGGGGAAACATCCTCAATGGTATCATTTCTGATGCATTTTCAAGTAACTGTTCGGCACGAACAGTGGATCTCAATGGAAATCACCTAGAAGGAAAGATTCCAAGATCTCTGGCCAACTGCACAGTTCTGGAGGTTTTAGACTTCGGGAACAACCGGATCAGTTATATTTTCCCATGCCATTTGGAGAACGTATCCAGTTTGCGAGTCCTGGTTTTGAGATCCAACAACTTACATGGGCAAATTGGTTGTCCAGGTGACAGTTCCTCCTGGCCAATGCTTCAAATTGTAGATCTTGCTTCCAATCATTTTAGTGGAAAACTACCAAATCGTTTTAAAAACCTGGAAAGCAATGGTGGATGGTGAAACTGAGCTCCGACAACTTCGCTTTGAGGTCATGCCTCTCAGTTCATTCTATTATCAGGATGCTATTACTGTTACCATGAAAGGTTTAGAGCTGCAGCTGGTTAAAATCCTCAATGTCTTCACCTCCGTTGACTTTTCAGGCAACAACCGTCAAGGGACAGTTCCAGAAGTTATGGGAGAACTCAGAGCACTCTATTTCCTTAACCTGTCCCATAATGCTCTAACGGGTCCAATCCCATCATCTTTGGGAAACTTGCGCCAGCTTGAGTCCTTGGACCTCTCCAGCAACAACTTAACTGGTGAGATTCCTCAACATCTGTCAAACCTGAATTTCCTTTCAGTCCTCAACCTCTCAAACAATCAGCTGATTGGAGAAATTCCCACGTCAAATCAGTTCCAAACATTCTCAAATGATTCCTTCTATGGCAATAAGGGACTTTGTGGGTTTCCTTTGAAAAAAAATGTGGAAGCAGTGGCAACACCTCAGACAACCATCCGGATAATAGAACCAATATCGACTGGAATTTCCCAAGCACCGAACTGGGATTTGTTTTTGGCCTGGCAATTGTTATTTTTCCACTCATGTTCTGGAAGAGATGGAGGGTTTGGTATCACAATTGTATTGATGGTCTTCTCTTCAAGCTTCTTCCTCAGTTGAATCAAAGAAGCAGAAATGCTGGGAGGAGAGCTTCCAGGAGCAGGACCAGGACACATTGAGGAACAAGCAGCGGTGTAAAAGAAGGAACTTTAGCCAAAGTTCTTCTGGGAACTTTGATGTATGAACTATATGCTCACTCTTCTTAAGATCAAAACTTGTGCTATCCTGGCGCAGTCCCGTTTTACTTTATTTAATAACTGTTGAAGCTGGTTTTGGAACGATGTTTGCATTGTAGTGCTACTTTTAGTTAATGTATTTGCCATTTGATAGAAGGGAAATTGATCGTAAGGTGGTCTTAACTTATTTAGGTAAGAGTAGGTGGATCAATCACTAATCACTGTGCTGTTTTGAGAACGCGTACAAATGCAATCCTCTGCGAAGAACAAATTCGAAGCCTAATGAACCAAGGGGATTTTTTTTTTTTTTTTTT